TAGAAAGGAGCGAGTCAGTCCGAACGACGCTCGCGCAATGGAATTGTTTAATACAACGACAAAACGAATTAACGGACGATATGAGGTGCGACTGCCGTGGAAACGCAATGATGTGAAGATGCCACCGAGTTACGAGTCCGCCGTGAAGAGATTGAAAACCATTGAAAAGAAGATGGATAAGTCAAGCTCTTTCAGAGACACATATAAAGCGCAGATAAAGAATCTGATCGATAAAAAGTACGCGGAGGAATGCAATGGGGAGGAACTACAGAGCCAACGATTATGGTATCTGCCCCACTTCGCGGTGTCGAACCCGAATAAGCCAGGAAAGTTACGAGTAGTGTTTGATGCGGCTGCCGTAACGAATGGAGTATGTCTCAATGACGAACTATTGGAGGGTCCCGACTTGCTTATAGATCTAGCGGGCCTCCTTTTACGGTTTAGAGAACGAGCGTTCGCCGTCACGGCCGATATCAAGGAGATGTTTCTTCAGATAAAGATTCACAAGGAGGATCAGCCGGCGCAGTTGTTCCTGTGGAGAGGCGACGAGCGAACCACGCCGCCGAAAGGATACAAGATGACGTCTATGATATTCGGAGCTAAGAGTTCTCCTTTCCTGGCTCACAGTGTACGGAACGCGAATGCCTACGCGCATGCTACAGAGTATCCACGCGCATATGAAGCAATCACTAAGAGTCACTACATGGATGACTATGTCGACTGCTACGACACAGAACAAGAGGCGATGGATGCGCTAAAGGAAGTAGCCACTGTGCACGCGCAGGCGGGATTCACGCTAACCGGTTATAACTCAAACGGACCGGGAGTGTTGCGAGAGCTGCCAGTAGAGAGCCGTGCCACATCGCCTACGCAACTCGCCATAAGCGAGGACCGATGGGGTAGGACACTAGGATTGCTGTGGGATGCGTCTACGGACGACCTGGCATTTAACACGGATATGGTGCGCGTGAATACGGACATAAAAGAAATGAAACGAGCCCCTACAAAAAGGGAGGCATTAAGCGCAGTAATGTCTATATTTGATCCGCTCGGATTATTAAGTTATTACACGATACGGGCGAAGATTATATTACAAAACATATGGCGATTGAAAATAGACTGGGACGAGCCCTTACCTGATGAGGAAGCCGGCGAATTTCACGAATGGCTTAATGGAATGAGTACCATTAGTAGGCTGCGTCTACCCCGGCGTCTCTATACGGGGGGAGTGACGGGAAAGCAGCTACATGTGTTTTGTGACGCGAGCGAGGTCGCTTATAGCGTCGCAGTCTATTGGAGAATCGAGAATGACGGGGCGGTGCAAGTGACGCTGGCCGCCGCAAAGGCCAGAGTGGCACCGATAAAAAGACAAAGTATTCCTAGAATGGAATTGCAGGCAGCGTTAATCGCTACGCGGTTGGCGAATACCGTAGCGAGAGAACAAAGATGGCATGCAGAGCGCGTCGTGTATTGGACCGATTCAAAAACCGTCCTGCAGTGGATAAACAATGATACAGCGCGTTTTACACCGTATGTGGCTCATCGTGTAACCGAAATAACTGAAACCACGACGGCGTCACAGTGGAGATGGGTGCCTACTGCACATAACGTCGCAGATGACGCAACGCGAGGCGAAGCTTACGTAAAATCGAATACGGATAGGTGGTTCACTGGACCGACCTTTTTATACGCTAGCGAATTAGAGTGGCCTACCTGTGACGTCACGAACAATACGGATGAAAATGAATGTTACGCGATAGCACAACTGCCGCAGGAAAACTATAGCATTCCCGATGTGAATCGCTTTTCCTCTTACGAACGCTACGTGAGAACGATGGCAAGAGTTTTAATGTTCGTCGATAGATGTCGCCACCGTGGTACTGATTTAACCGCGGAACACATAAACAAAGCAGAGGAGTTACTCTTGAAAAACGCACAGAAAGAAAGCTTCACAAATGATATTAACCGTCTTATAGCTGGCCAAAAGTTGTCTAACAGCAGTCGATTACGAAAACTGGATCCATTCATAGACGAGAACGGCGTATTACGAGCGAGCGGGAGAATAAGGGCAGCGGGTGTGTCTGCCCCCGCTACTACGCCAGTAATAATGCACGGCAGCCACCCGTATGCGCGGCTGTTGCTTCAACGCGAACACCGTCGCGCCCATCACGCGAACAATGAACGCGTCGTGAATGATGTTAGACAACGATATTGGATATTACGATTAAGACCAGCGGTGCGTGCAGTGGCTTATAAATGTGCTTTCTGTCGCGTGAGAAAAGCGATACCTACGAAACCAGTACACGGTGATCTACCTCAAGTAAGATTGGAAGCCTTTATCAGACCATTCAGTAATTGTGGCGTCGATTATTTTGGCCCTATGACGGTGACAATAGGAAGACGACATGAGAAAAGGTGGGGGGCGCTATTCACATGCCTTTCAACCCGCGCCGTGCACATCGAAGTGGTGGGGAGCCTGTCTACCGACTCCGCGATTATGGCACTACGACGAATGGCGGCGAGGAGGGGGTGGCCTAAGACAATGTATAGTGACAATGCGACGAATTTTAGAGGTGCCGACAGTGAGCTACGGGACGCATACAATGAATGGGAGCCGGCACTACGAGACTATGCGCTTACACAACGAGTCGACTGGCGTTACATATCACCGGGCGCGCCACACCAAGGAGGCGCATGGGAACGTCTCGTTAGAAGTGTCAAGAATGCATTACGAGTGACGCTACATGAAAAATCGCCGCGAGAGGAAGTCTTAGTCACACTACTGACCGAGGTCGAATACACTTTAAACGCTCGACCTCTGACACACGTACCAGTCAATATTGAAGATCCAGAAGCACTCACGCCCAATCACTTTTTATTGGGTAGTTCGAACGGCCTGCCCTTTACCGGGCCGTGCGAGCGCGCCGACAAGCGAAACTGGAGGGCAGCACAAGCGCTGGCCGATGAATATTGGCGTCGATGGCTACGAGAGTACCTTCCCATGCTCATACCACGTGGAGGTGCCCGCGACGCTGGGCGTCGTGCGATACAAGAGGGTGACTTGGTTATAGTTGTGGATCACACACTACCCCGCAACATATGGCCAAGGGGCGTCGTCACCAAAGTATATCCTGGACCAGACAACGAGATACGCAATGTGGAGGTGAAGACGAAGGGCGGCACGTTCCGGCGACCGGCGACGAGACTGGCGGTCCTGACGATGGAGTGATGGGGCTACGCGGATGCTGCGCCGGGGGGAGCTCTGTTAAGGACGCACGTCTCGTCGAGTTGTATATATTAGATGATCTTAAGTAAATTATATATAATAAGTAAGTTTAGTTAAATGAATGTGGTTAAAGCTTAGAATTAAATGATACAACCTATGGGTGTATTTATTCCCCTAGTATTAAGATAATTTAAGTTATAGCAAATTAAATTATTGTGAGGGGTTGGATTTTATTTGATATGGTTTTCTATAAGGTATTGCCTCGCTAAGGAGGCTTAGGTAGCTCTCTGTATGGTATTGCTTCACTCAAGGAGGCTTATGTGGGTTTTCTATATGGTATTGCCCGAGTCAAGGGAGTTTATGTGGGTTTCTATACGGTATTGCCTCGATACAGGGGTGTTTAAAATGTAAAATGTTCGACTACCTTCATGTTAACAATAAAAATGTATCAGAGCGAGACGGCGCTGGTTTACGCGGGATCTTCCGTCTCGCTCTGACCACATAAATACATCGGGCAAGAGCGCGGCGCGCCTTAGAATGATTATGAGCTTCGACGGCGCGGTCTTGCCCGACACGATACGAGTTATGTAACAATAATATGATGATGTTTCAACATGATTTATGATGTAAATGTAGAAACAGTAAAACGTAGTAATTAACAATAATGTGATACATAGATGTTAAGGGTGGGGGATGGCTTCGCAAAGTAGGGGTTAGATATGTAATAGGCTAACCAACTGATAATATACGGAGCTAAGTGCGAGCCACCCCAACAAATGTAAGACGGGTCGATTTGAGCGAAATTTGTAAGCTCTCCGGCCCTCAAGATTTAAGAATAAAGAAGAAGTGAAACCATCGAAGGAAGTTTCAATTATACAGTCCAAGCATCGGCTAGCTACGTGTAAATCTGTTCAAGATCCAGGAAGATCCGCAATAAGTATAACATGCATATAGAGTTAACTCTGTACAAAAAATAAGAATTACTCGCGATTCAATCATTAACCTAAAATTTACAATGATAACAATTAAAATACTCATTAATAACAATTCATTTAACCCAATATACATATGCTTTCCTGTTACATTAAAAACTGTTACTGTTGTTATAAATTGAGAAAGTGCATAGTAAACATATTTAAAAAGCCTGATAATAAAATTCCGATTATAAAATCCACTAAATTTAATTGAAAAAATAAGTCGTATGTCGTTGTAAAATATTGCAACTGTTAAAAAATGTGAAATTGCGTAATAAAAATATGTAAATAGCCATCTATTAATCACCTTCAATACTAATATGAAAGCAAATCTAACAAAAATTATAATAGATTTATATAAATAAAATGAAATAGAGATAAAACTATATCGGAACGAACAACAGTGATACAATGTCAACAATATACAATCCAAACTAACTTTCACTTCTAATGTCTTATCAATAATCCCACCATAGACATTAGAAACAAAATCGCCATATAATAAAAACATAATCAAAAGAGTAACACGCTTCGATTGAGTGGGGTGATTAATCAAAATGTTTAATATAATGAGAATTTTAGTTGGACTATATAAAAAGTATGAAACAAAGTTGATATAATAATATTGGAACAAATAATAATTTAAAAACAGTAATATAAAATCTACCTCAAATTTCATTATGGCAATGTGATTAAGCAATATAAAAATTAAACAATGACACATCAACATACCAACGACAGATTCACGTTTCAATTTAGCAAAGCGATTAATCATCAGTAAAAGCGGAAGCAAAACAAAATTAACTAGTAGAGGTTCTCGAGGGTACTGTTCCAAAAACTCGACTTAGATCAGCCTCTGAGCGTAAGTGGTGACGAGGGGCGTCACTTCCAGAACGATGACGTGCAAATATACGTCCATCCTTCGTCCAAACGTAACGCCACCCTAGGTCACGTGCTAATTCTCGAGCACGTCGAAACAACTGCCTGTTCCGCTTTGTCAACCTCTCGTTCACAAAAAAGCGGCACGGCCTGCCAGGCAGGTTCATGTCCTCCGTATTCGCTCCACGGCGCACCTTTACAGCATCAAGGAACCTGTCTCGCATGGCACGTCGCGCCAAACGTACCACTATTGGGCGCGGGCGGGATGTCGCAGGGGACCGAGTTACATCGAGAATACGCCCCATGCGCACAGCGCTCACGACATCTTCAGCATGCAAAGTCACGCCTAGTTTTGTAGCCACTTTGTTTACGATGGTTAACAAATTTTCCTCCTTTTGTTCCGGTATGCAAGTTATTTCAATATCTGTGAGCAAGAACTCCTGATCTCGTTCATTAAGCTCCGATTTTAATTGATCAATTGCTGCCGACAGCGTTGAAGTGCCATCCCGTTTATCAGAGAGTCGGACTTCTAGTTGCTCCACGCGTTCATCAAGTTTTTTCATATGGCTTTCGCATTCAGTGATCCTGTCCGCAAGCGCGGCCACGCTGTCGTTCAATCGCTTAGACTCTAAGCGGTTAGCTCGCATTTCTTCTCGAATTTCCTCTCTAAATGCACGCATTTCTAAGACAAACGATTGGAATTCCGTCATTTCTATTGTCATGTTATGATAGGTTTCTATGGTAGTGTCCATGACTGATTGAGGATTTTCCACGACCGACATATCCAATTGCATAGGTGACGTAACCGCAGCACCTCGCTGCACCGTAACTGCATCGATGACAGCACGTACTGGTGTATTGGTATTGTCGAATTTAGGCTGTTTACTTATGCATAATACACACCTCCATGCATTTTTATGTTCTTTGGTCATGGTATTGTAAAATCGTTGCTCCGAAACATTGGCACAAATCAAGTCGTAATATTGTCCACATTTGCCACACAGGAAGTACCTTCTGTCCTCTATAGCTATCTGACATCCAGTACAAACTTTCTTAACATTCGACATTCTTCAAAAATAGATAAATATATAAATCCCAACAAAAATATTAAAATCAATCGATTTCTCTTTGGGAAAATTAAAAAAAGCTAACAAAAAGAAAAACCCGTTACGATGATTCGAACTGCGTCCGTCAGTCTTTAAGCGACAATACAACCAAAGCGCTATCGACGCTCGTCTAAGTCTGTCGTAATAGCGTATAGCTACGAAAGCAATAAGCAGTAAGCGGCATGCGAGAAGCAATTACAAACCGGTTCTACTTCAATATACGACGACTCACGCAACACTGACACTGTCCGCCGTCACTTATTTTAACTGCCTCACCGGATAAAAATTACATTTAGAATCATTCGTTGTTCATCAACCGCTTCACACCCCAACACTTAAGATTTATAATGAAAAAGATATTGTCTTGAAGGTTGTACAGATGAAATTTTTTTGATGAAATTATGAAGATTAAGCAGAATAAAACATTAAAATTTACAGGTGCACTCGTAACACGTCTATTTACTATCGCGCTACCCGCGCTCCTCCCAATGTTGATCATCAATATATCAAAGACAAAAATTTAATAAAACAGTTAATATTTCATAGCAATTTTGTCGAACACGTCACTTCAAATTGACATAACTTTTTTATTTGTGAACCGATTGAAATAAATCTTACACTAAATGTTAACGGAAGAATACCGTAATATAATAGTGAAAACTGCATTTAAATCGGTTCAGCCATTTCTGAGATTATCGTGCATAAACGCACAGACAAACAGACAAACCGACAAATAGACAAAAAATTTAAATATCTGTGTTTTGTGTTTTAACACTGATTTTTAAATTTTTTAATGATAAATATCCCTCATAACAGTTTTTTTCATATATCTTCAATGTACAGCCATCGATCGGTTACGTTTTTATTATAGTATAGATTGTAATATTAGCCAAAAAGTGCCGTATTTTAGTACAGACAGATTGAATATGTCGACTCCAATGAAATAAATTAAAAGTTGATGTTTAAACAAAGTTATATTTTTGAAGGTTCTGTCACAATTGAAAAGCAGATTTATAAAATTTACTCTTAAAAAAAAACACAAGTAATTTTTCCCTCAAAACCCTCAAATTCTTAAAAATCTCGTGAGTCACTTGATATCTGAGATAATAATTGCTTGTAATTAATTAATTTTGTTTAAAGCGCAATTCTCCATCATTTAATCCTACTGAGGTCTAGCTCATAGAAGTAAGTAGACGGGGACACAGATAAGAATAGATGAAGACGTACTGTAAAGAATACAGCGTCGAAAATATAAAAAAAAACACATAAGTAGATATGTCAAATGATCGACGTTTAGCCGTGCAAATGGTGATATCCTATTATAGAAATGTTTTACCCAGATGGCTATGACATATTCATCATATATCGTCCTTAATCATATAACCTCAATATTGTTTTTATTATTTCACAAAAAACTCTTCAATTTAAACTTAAAAAAAATCAGATGTGAGTTTAAAAGTTGACCAAGCAAATGTGATTTATAATATTCTTAGTTTATTAATAGCGAGCGACATGAAGAATCGTTAAATGTAAGTAAATACTAAAGTAGGTATCTGTGATGTCTGTTACGCTCTCATACCTAACCCACTAAAATAGTTGACTAGAGGCCCATCTCTTTATCACAATAAAATGTTACTTAATGGGTACTTAATGGCTTAATGGGTTATGTTACGGACGCACGTCTCGTCGAGTTGTATATATTAGATGATCTTAAGTAAATTATATATAATAAGTAAGTTTAGTTAAATGAATGTGGTTAAAGCTTAGAATTAAATGATACAACCTATGGGTGTATTTATTCCCCTAGTATTAAGATAATTTAAGTTATAGCAAATTAAATGATTGTGAGGGGTTGGATTTTATTTGCTATGGTTTTCTATAAGGTATTGCCTCGCTAAGGAGGCTTAGGTAGCTCTCTGTATGGTATTGCTTCACTCAAGGAGGCTTATGTGGGTTTTCTATATGGTATTGCCCGAGTCAAGGGAGCTTATGTGGGTTTCTATACGGTATTGCCTCGATACAGGGGTGTTTAAAATGTAAAATGTTCGACTACCTTCATGTTAACAATAAAAATGTATCGGAGCGAGACGGCGCTGGTTTACGCGGGATCTTCCGTCTCGCTCTGACCACATAAATACATCGGGCAAGAGCGCGGCGCGCCTTAGAATGATTATGAGCTTCGACGGCGCGGTCTTGCCCGACACGATACGAGTTATGTAACAATAATATGATGATGTTTCAACGTGATTTATGATGTAAATGTAGAAACAGTAAAACGTAGTAATTAACAATAATGTGATACATAGATGTTAAGGGTGGGGGATGGCTTCGCAAAGTAGGGGTTAGATGTGTAATAGGCTAACCAACTGATAATATACGGAGCTAAGTGCGAGCCACCCCAACAAATGTAAGACGGGTCGATTTGAGCGAAATTTGTAAGCTCTCCGGCCCTCAAGATTTAAGAATAAAGAAGAAGTGAAAACCATCGAAGGAAGTTTCAATTATACAGTCCAAGCATCGGCTAGCTACGTGTAAATCTGTTCAAGATCCAGGAAGATCCGCAACAGAAGTTTGGTCCATCGCTCGCCGGATATATGAAGTCAGAAGACTGAAAAACGTTCCAGACCTACGGACATAGCCGAAGAAAACACTCGTGTTCTGTCACGAGTATACGCGGGTGGACCGCGGGCTCATTGCGTACACCACCTAACGGTGCCAAACGGTGTGCGTAGTGAGTTAACGCCGTTCAAGGCGGACGAGGTGGTCAGTTCGTTTCCGAACTACACGTCGTACTACGCAAGGCATTGTAACCATACGGACGAAGTGGTCAGTTCGTTTCCGAACTACACGTCGTATTTCGCGGGGCTGTAAACATACGGATTAGATTGATAGTTCGTTTCCGAACTACGTCTTACTACGCCAGTAAGGTTTGGCGTGGAGCGGGGGTCCTTTCTGTAGGCACTGCCAATGCTATCGGACATTCCAGCCGATACGCGAGCGCCCCGTTGTCCGCGACCGACTCTCTGCTGGGTAGTTCCTACCTTCCTATCCTGCACGATATCCATCCTCAAGCGGGCTCCCCAGTTAGCGTACCCGTTTGAGATTGATAGGAGTAGGGGCTGCAAGTAAGAAGAGGACATGCCAACGACGAGACGTCAAAGCCAAGCCGAACAAAGCAAAATGGACAGCGCTAAAGGAAAAGTGTTCGACAGGCCACCTGCGTCACCCTCGTGCCTTGCCTCATCCGTGATGCCGTCGGAAGCGCCACAAGAAACCGTAGAAGGTACCGCCGCACAGAGAATTGAACATCGCGACGATATGCCTAGATCGAGGCCACCAACGGTATGTTCGAATTCGAGCGTTGCTGCGCGCGTTAAGCAGGCGCAACTCGCAGCGGAAGAGCGACTCGCGGAAATACGACGCCGCGAGTTGCATATTGAATCGGAGCTAGTAAAAAAGAGATTAGCATACGAAATAGCTACTATACAAGAGGAAACCGATCCGGAGAGCTTACCCGCCGTCGATAATGTCCAACGAGTGGACGACTGGTTCCAGAATCTACGGCGTCAGAACGTGTTAGAGCCCATGTCGGAAAGGGACGGCGATACGGCCGCGCAACAGAAAAGGAAGGATGCGCGAGCCGTAGAGGTAGATAAACACCGCCACATTACGGACTCTCCCTTCAAGGAACAGAGTGATGATAAACTAATCGATGAGACAGCAAACCGAGATCGGCAAACGATTAAGGAAGACTCGGGGATGGATAAGCTCGCTCATACGTTAGAAAGAATGATGAATAGGCGTCCGGTGCCGCGTCAGGCTCAAGATATACCAATTTTTAGCGGCGCACCGGCCGAATGGCTGCCGTTTAAAGCAGCAATGCGCGACACCACAGAACAGTGGCACTTCACTAAATCTGAAAATATAGCCAGATTAAGGAGTTGTTTGAAAGGCGAAGCGAAAGAAGCGGTATCAGCGCTTTTGTATACCGTCGCCGATCCGGAGATAATCATGAAGTCTTTGGAACAATGTTTCGGTCGACCCGAAGTGATTATTTATCGAGCGCTAGAAGACATAAAGAATTTACCGCGACCGGGTACGACGGCAAGCGAACTCAACACGTTCGCAATTAAGCTTCAAAATATAGTATGCATATTGGATAATGTCGACGACCGAGGGTATTTGAGAAATCCATTACTAGTGAGAGAAGTGGTGGAAAAGCTTAGCCCCCACCTCCGATCGCGTTGGTGCGACTATGCATATGAATCCGGAAGCTACGCAGAGCCAGAGATCGTAACATTGTCTCGTTTTTTGATGCGCGAAGCAAATAGATCACTGCAATTCGCATATGTGACTAACAACAACACCGCTGCTATGAAAAAGAATATCGCCGAGACAAAGGGACAAATGAAACCGCGATACGATAGAAAGAGAAGCACTGCGGTGTACGCGACCAACGATGACGTCACCTCCAAAGTATGTCTATGTTGCGGGGGACGTCATGAAGTACCACAATGTGAACGGTTTAAAGCTATGAAGATACCTGAAAGATGGAAATGGGTTAAGAAATCCCAAATTTGTTTTCGATGTGTAAACAGAAAACATCGTCGGATACACTGTGACAGCCCGTTATGTGGTGTAGATGGCTGCCGCCACCCACATCATGCGATGTTACACGAGAACCGTGCCCAAACGAGCGAAGCGAGACCCACAAAGGAAGCCGAGATGGTTGCATCAGCTACTCACTCAACAGAAAGATCCAAAGTATTGTTGAAAGTGTGTCCCGTCACCATAAAAGGACCGAAAGGCTCGGTCAACACTTACGCCTTACTCGACGAAGGTTCAACTATAACAGTGATAGATGAAGATCTCGCCAATTACGTGGGTGCCGACGGGCCGACAAATAACTTAAGCATACGAAGCATTAACACGCAGAATGTATACGAAACGAAACAAGTAAA